GTGAGTTTTCTTGACTCGTTAGCTTCAATTTGGTTGTGACGATGTTACCTCGCTCTGATGATGTTCGTCACATGACGGACGAGAGCTTAACACCTTTTCACCGGAATCGAAAGAGATTGCCTCGGAAACAGAGTCAGCATGAATGCTCCAGTAAAGCCAATCGACAACTGGTCAAGAGGAATCCGCCGTCGTCTTCTGGTGGAACCGACCTTCGAATCTCTTCATGCAACACTTTCACTCGAAATGGAAGTAAGCTCAACAATAGCTGGAAATTATGATAACTTGTATGGCAGAGAACTTCGGACAAAAGGCGTCCGACTCGGCCGGCTTGACAACAGATCCAAGTTGCGAAAATGGAGTCAGACCACTTTATGCAAAACAGTTGTTCTATCTCTCCTGTCCTGTTGCCCCCATCTGTTCCTGAGCCTTGTGTCTAACTCTCTCCTAAACGCAAATTCCAATTTATTCATTGCAAATTACTGTGGCTATAATTGGTGTTAACAATATTTGTACACTCTGTGTGTATGTGTGTAAGAGTATTCAATACACAGTACACAAGATTGTTGTGCTTACTTCCGTTTCGAGTGAAAGTGTTGCGTGAAGAGATTCGAAGATCGATTCCACCAGAAAAACGACGGTGGACTCCTCTTGACCAGCTGCCGATTGGCTTTACTGGAACATGCATGGTGAAGCTGTTTCCGAGGCAATCTCCTTCGATTCCGGTGAAAAGGTGCTAAGCTTTCGTCCTTCACATGACGAGCATCATCAGAGCGAGGTATCATCGTCACAACCAAATTCAAGCTAACGATTCAGGAAAACTCACCGGCAAATCCCTGAAAAGTGGTCTATATACTCAACATTTGGCTCTAACGATGTTTGTCATGTGACGGACGAAAGCTTAGCACCGGAATAGAAAGAGATTGTCTCGGAAACAGCGTCAGCATGTATCGTTCAGTAAAACCAATCGACAGCTGGTCAAGAGGAATGCGTCTTCTGGTGGAAGCGATCTTCGAATCTCTTCACGCAACACTTTCACTCGAAATGGAAGTAAGCACAACAATTATGAAACAAGAGATTGCTCGAAACTCAAATAGTTTTCGCATATATTACAGTACAGAATAGCCTAACAACAGGTATGTATCATCAAAGTTCAATGACCAAAGAAAAAGCATGACCGAGACTGCATAAGTCCGAAAGCAACTCTGGTTGAGATGTAGGCCTGTACTCGTAAAAGCTATTCCAATGCCAAACGGCTGCAGAACAAGTGCAATCAACAACAATATTATCACAAGAGATTGATTGAAATGCAGCTGCTTTTCGTAAATCCAACTACAAAATGTGCTGTGGGAGGAATGCCCGATCTTGTCTTAAATGCTCATCTGCAGTCTGACCCAAGCCAGCTCGCGGAAGCGTGCCCTACTGCCCTGGTTCGAGTCCCGCTGGGATGTTGATGAGACTAGTTCAGACGCGAGTAAAATTGCAGTCCAGTCAAGCCGAGATGAGAATACTTTGAGGGAAATAAAATGGAAAACTCAAATAACCACAGAGCAACAGCAATCCGCTGTAGCGTTTAGGTTGGATCAACTTTTGTAGATCTCTTCACCGACTCGTCTCTAAGCGCGAAGTGAAAGTGATGACAAGAAAGGCGTCACCACAAAATGGACGATACGTCGACTCCCGATGGTGACA